AGCCTAGTTCACACTACGTGATTTTAAGCCCGATTTAAGCCCGATTTGCAAATCGTTGAGTCGCCGACAAGTCAGGGTGTTATCGCGTGCAAATCGCGGGCGATTAGCGGACGATTAACGCTCGCCAATCCGTTAGTGTGAAAGAGCCAACAACGCATCAAAGACAGCTCGCAGACAGCTCGCAGACAGGTCACCGAGCTCAGAAAAATATCTAGCCTGCTAGATATCTCGAGCAGTCGCGCGACTCAATCTCAGTGATGTCATGAGTACAGCCAATCATAGCAACGCATGGGTTGAGGACACCAGGTAAATCTTACTTTTTCTTTTTTGCATTTTTTTTCTCAGAGCAGATCGTCGAGCAAACAGTGTGCAGCACTAGTTTCTGTCTGACGTCCATATTCGCGTGTTATGTTTCTTCTCTGTAGTTTCGCGTCATTTCTGGTTCGTTTTATTGCGTGGTTTTCGTTACAAAACATGGTTTCTAGACCAGATAGAATCGTGTTGTTGTCAACTCGTTATTTGTTTGATTATTTTCAGGATTTCGACCGTACTATAGTACTGAAACAGCTCTCATTGAGTCACAAATGATATGCTCTTATCATCCGATCGTGGTTGTATCTCTATGCAGTGCGTTGTTAACTCGTGTAGTGAGTTACCTCCTGTTGTGGATCAATCACGTTGTGTTGTGTGGTGTGAACAGCTAAACAACTTGAACACTCATGATTTCACTGAGAGCAAGTCATGTAATGTGAACTGCACAGTTCAGCCCAACATTTTCAAATCATGTAGTGTGAACTAGGCTTAACATCACTGAGATTGAGTCGCGCGACTGCTCGAGATATCTAGCAGGCTAGATATTTTTCTGAGCTCGGTGACCTGTCTGCGAGCTGTCTGCGAGCTGTCTTTGATGCGTTGTTGGCTCTTTCACACTAACGGATTGGCGAGCGTTAATCGTCCGCTAATCGCCCGCGATTTGCACGCGATAACACCCTGACTTGTCGGCGACTCAACGATTTGCAAATCGGGCTTAAATCGGGCTTAAAATCACGTAGTGTGAACTAGGCTTAACGCGTGTGGTGTGAAACCGGCGTCAGAAGCTCCACAGGAGAAAAATATGGGATCAGTAGCTATGTAGCGTTACGCGCGGGTCTGAACAGATTCCTGAATGATCCACCTTTGAGTTTGTCCTGTCTGAAGAGACACAGCGAATTCACCGTCCTCATCCAATAACGTTTTCGGTGGAGTCGTAAAGACAACAAGAAGAGAGGGTCGTAATGAAACACACACCGATTTCTACTAAAGATTTCAGCACCATAAAACTGTCCGATGCGCTTAATCCCAACCTGTCACTATACCAGTCACCGAAGCATTTCACTGCCCATTGGGTTTGCTGCACGGTATTTTTTTCATTACGAGTCTTCTCGAATGTAGGCTATTACATTTTAGCACTTCAGCATGACAGTTCGTATTTGTAGAAGTCTCTCCAAATTGTTCCTCAAACCACTTATCCATCGTCATGCCACCTATAAATCGAAATTTACTTTAAACATTTTAGCCTTTTTAAATTATGTCTGTGAGTGGACATAAGTGTAAAAGTAAAGAGCTACTGGAGGCCAAACTTAAACAAAGAAAGCACTGGAGTGACATTCTTGCTGCAACATAAAACACCGCTGACAGCGCTGAGCCCCAACTAAAGAGGAGGTTAAATATCACCACAGCGGAGCCGATTGAAATTAGTCAAATATTTAATGCGTGCACAATAAACGGAGATGTTCAAATACATTTAGGCTAAATAAACAACAATAAATAAAGTATCTCTTGTTGCAGCATTTAAGCAACTAAATTAATAACTAGATTAAAGACCTAACTGTTATCTATCAAAATATGTGCCCTTGTGTTTTTTATTATTATTTTATTTGTTAGTTTGCTGAGAGATAAGCTATGCCTATTTGTGTGAGGAAATTTCACAAATTTTGTGTTGTAAAAAAATAAAAAGAATGAGACAAAGTTTGAGAATGGTTTTGTTGTTTTTATTTGAGCTTTCCTGCATATTACACATTGGAACGTTGTTGTTCACAGCCAGGGACTATATTTTTCTAGCGGAAGGAATGTTTTTATTGATTAAACTACATTAAAAAGTTGCACTAATACATTGTTTTTTATTGTAATATTGTGTGGCAACCGTTTTATAAAAGCAATAAGGTACTCGAGGCAAGTGCTGTATCGTGAATAAGTAACGGCTGAAGGGGTTGCAGGCACTCCGCTTCGCGTCGTGCCTAACAACGCCCTTCAGCCGTTACTTATTCACGATACAGCACAGCCTCTCGTACCTTATTGCTTACTTAAATGTGTACACAAAAGAGAATTCATGGCTCTGGATATTTGTTTATTTTTGTAAGGGTCTGTGAGTGTTTGCAAGGTTGATACATTTAAACTATAATATAGGCTACTTTTGTTTTGTGTCGTTTAATGTAAAATGTGTAGTGTTGTGGTCCTGTGAGGGAAAAAGTAGGCTACTTCACATTTGTACATGAATACTATCGCAGTATGAAGTTCCTTACATTCTCCACTGGTTATTTAAAAATTAAAGTAACAAATTGTTGGTCCATTGTCACAATATTAACAAATTGTTGCTAACTTAACTTCGTCCCATATCAAAGTGCGCACCTGAAGCGCTCGGACCGGTCTAGCCTGCGGAGGATTGTTCTTGTCGCCTAGCAACTGTGACTGACAGCTGACGACGACGAGCGGGAGTACGTTTGCACTGGACTTTTTATATTTGGTTTAAAATATTCAAATAGGATTGACAGCCTGTATAAATATATTCACCATGGTCCATTTAGACAATAAAAAGAAAACCCTACAAAATCGTATGGTACGATTAACATTTGAATAGGCTATTGGCTATATATGTGCCTATGTTTTATCATTATTTTTTAGGCTATTTTCATTACAATATTTAGGTTAACACCCAATATTTGAACAGTTTACAGTGTAATCTGGCTATTCAGGACGCAGCCTCTAGCATTAAACCAGCTCTGGCCAACTCTTGAGCCGAAAATACATGACTCGAAATATTTTTTTAGTGGTTATGTGAATTGAAATTATGTGATTTTATATATATTGCCCCTCATTTAAAGACAGGACAATATAAAACATAAAATTTCCAGTAAAATATAAAACAACAAAATGACAATAGCCTTTCTCCATAGCTGTTTACTCAGTTTCATTAAATGAATGATCAGGGTGGCAGCTGTACTCTCGCTCCGTTGTTTGGCGCCAGGAGCAGTAATAGGGAACACCTGGTTGCGCAATTAGGAAATCCCACGAAGGCTACATGAAGCGTCCTTCGAAGGCCAAATAGACTGCATCCTTCGAAGTCTACAGCCTTCGAAGTACGCAGCCTTCACATTGGGACACAGCAAAGATCATTGTTTCATTGCATTGCATACAAGAACTAACTTACAGTGCAATACACATTTTCAGTACGAACTCTTTACTCATTGTAATGCACACAAACTCTGTTGTGTATTTGAAATAATAACACATGAAATATGCTCTGTTTAACGTTGCATTGCATACAAGATCTAACTACTATGTGCAATGGTTATGTCTGTCTATAGTGTGTGTTTGCATTAAAAAACAAGATGTGCAGTGGAATGGAAAAACACTTTCTGTGTGAATGGCCCCTGAATGCCACTAATACAATATATGAGACCATATTAAAGTTATTTTAAAACCTTTCTTGATCAGAAATACTTTTGAAACTACTATAATTGTGGAACATTTAGTCCTCAGGGATATACCACAGCTGAATTACATTTGCACATTTATAAGTGACAAGGGAGTTAAAAAACCTAATGCTTATTTAAAATGTGGTAATGGTTTAGGAGACTTCTGGCGATCCACCCAAAAGTTTTGAGTTCTCTAGATTGTAATGATATGATACAATTTCAGTTGAAATGGAATGGTGTTCAATAAAGAAAGATGAAGATAGAGAGAGAGCAAAGGCTTGTTGAGAAAAAAATTAAATCACCAAATTACGTATATACTACTAGTGTTTTACTTTGTCTAAGTATAATGAAATGGACATACTCTCACTTTCTAAAAGCACGGAAAGCTGGTCACATTCTGAATCTGCTTTTCATTAGGCAACTGGGTGAAGAGAAGAAAATATCAGAGGTGAAAGGTTAGAGGTCAATGACTCAGTAAATGCAATAGTTCAGTGTAGGAATCTCCAGACCTGCACCAGAGGAATGGTACTTCATCTGTGCTGAAAGATAAACAAACGTATATTCGAGTGGGCGAATGGGACATCTGGAAGAAGCAAGCCAAAGAGCCCCTCTATGAACCTCCACAGTAGGCCTACAATCAAAAATCCTTGACACCGTGTAAGTAGGTCAAAGGTCATGGGAACCACCAGTCAAAAAACGTCTTCCTCCCACGATTATAAACAACATAGCTGGAATATGTTATCTAGGATAATCCTAGAATAGCATTTTGCAAAAATGCCCGCAGTCACATGAGAATCTTAGGAATCGACTGCGATCATTTTACGTGTCCAGTAAACGGCCCTGTGGTATGTTTGTTTTATATTGCTACTTTCAGTATAACAAATGGCCTTAGTCAAAAATAATCAGTTTATCCTTGCTTCACATTAAAAGAGATAAGGAAATACATTTATAATACAAGTAAATCATTATATCAAAGAATTTAATTTGAGAAAGTCATTATAATCCTGGAAAACCAGGAGACATTTGCATGATAGCAGCTAAAACAAATAAACAAAAACAGACTTTATGACCTTAAAAAAATTAGATTTAAAGTTCAGTGCCGGGAATCCCATGTTACAGTTCACCCAGAGAACAGTGATGTGTTTCACAATCACTTTAGCAACAGCATGTTGTCGACACTTTCTAAATTCTCCACGGTCACATTTGTCACTCATTTCATCATCATAGTGCCGTAGCTGACTTGACCTTGGATGACAGCACTTGTCGGAACCTTCTCTTCAGCTCTTGCATGTTCGGGCTTTTTGGCCTGGCAAGGTGTAATCCACCTTTTCTCTTCTCCCCATTTCCTCCTCCCAGAGCTCGGCTCATCTCCTGACATAAGTGCAGAAAAGCAGCCTGGACGCTCTCATGGTTCTCCCTGGCCGAAGCCTCAAAGTAGGGCCCTCCCAATTCATCAGCCAGCGCCTTACCCTCATGATCCGGGACCTGCCGGGCGCGGAGCAGGTCGCTCTTGTTTCCCACGATGATGACGGGGATGTTGCCACTGGGATGGATTCGGCGCACGTGTTGGTAGAGAGGCTGGATGGTACGGTAGCTGTTGAGGTCAGTGATGGAGAAGACCAGCACATAACCATCTGCCCAGTAAATTGAGCGGTTGATCTGCTCCTGACAGTAAAGACCCTCTACATCATCCTAAAATTGATAAAACGGTTGTTTTTATTCCATATATATATATATATATATATATATATATAGTAGACTATGTACTGTATATATGCTGTACAATATGTTTGCAATTTTTGTATGTTTTTGAAATAAATCACATGCTCTCAGTCTCCAAGGCTGCATGTCTTTAATCAACAAACGGTAAAACCAGTAATATTGTGAAATATTAAAACAACTGTTTTCTATTTTACTGTTTTAAAAATAATAATTTTAAAAAATAATAAAAATAATAGTAATTTATTCCTGTGATGGCAAAGCTGACTTTTTAGCAGTCTTCAGTGTCACATGATCCTAATATGCTGATTTGAGGCTCAAGAAACATTACTTATTATTATAAATATTGAAGACAGTTTTGCTGCTTAAATTTTTTAAATATAGGCCTTTACAAAACAGAAAACATTTCACAATATTACTGCGTTAATGTATAGTTGATCAAATAAATCCAGCTTGGAGACCATAATAGACTTCTTTCAAAAACATAAAAAGTTGTACTACATTCATATGCAGTATGGCATATTAGATATTAGCTGATCATTTTAATGTAAAGATAAACGAGAATCGATGTTGAAAACAATTGAGAAATTAAAAATAAATTAAATATTATTATTTTACTGATTGCTGCAATTTTAATGTTTAGTATGTTTCACCAATAATGGAACTGACTACCAATGAATTACAGTAGTTGTAATATGACAACTATAAGAAGTAAATTCTCAATCATCATAATACCTACAGTATAAATACACTGTGCTTGAGCCAGGATCAGATTCATTCAGTTAAAGAGAGCCTTTTAGTACACATGAGTCAGACTAATGAGCTTATGGCTGAACACACCCTTTTTATCTCCTCTGCACTGCATACTTTGTTTACAGGCCAAATGTTTGAACTAATATTCCCCACAGTTCATTTGAAGCATGCAGGAATCCCATAGGCAATGTCCGAATGATCTAAGTGACTGTGATAATACAGCATGGGTTGGGCACAATACTTTTGACGGATTGTATGATTTGAAGGTACCTGCAATGAGACACATGGAGTGTCCTGTACTTGTAAAGAAACTTGCTCCCCATCCAAGTTTATCTTCCTTGAATACAAGGCTCCTAGAAATGTTGAACAAGAAAAAAAAAATCACCAAGTAAAATGATAAAATTATGTGTATTTGCTTAAATATGTGCTCTGAGAAGGCTATGGCACTTTTCAGCCAACTTAATGGAGTTAAATAGGCTACTGATGAAGAAAACCATGCTGAAAGTCTGAAAACTTCGTGTACAAGAGACGAGTAGGCTAAAATATGACGACATTTTTATAGTTCAGTATAGGATTTTTAGCTTTATTTCATTATAATTTACCTGTGTTGGCTTCATAGTCTCCAATGAATCTCTTAGTAAGAAATCTTACAATCAGAGCTGAAAATAGAAACCAAATGGAAACGTTTGCATCATCATTTGCAAGCCTAACAATGTCACATAGCTCGTGCTGAAGTCAGTGTATGTCGCACCCTGGCGTTATAATGGCTAAAATGTTTTCATCATAATTCTTCAGGATTAGAATTATTATACCATTACCACATACCATTCAGACTTTATTAATGATTTTAAACAGAATGAATGAATAAACATTAAATCAACGAGTCATATTAGAATGGGTAGGCTATGAAATAAAAATATGATATGCATGATGGAATAAAGAACAAAAACTGTTTTAGATAAGCAATATCTTAAAGCCACATAATGTTAGGCTACATTTACCTGTTTTTCCGACATTGCTTGCCCCAAGAACAACTATTTTGACGTTTTTGTTAGGCACGCAGTCTATTACAGGGTACTCCGGTATAGGAACTAGCAAAAAGTTGCTAGAGCCACTGCTCATTGTTCTTGGCTGCTCGATAAGAAGACGCATTTAGAAACCGCAGTTTAGAAATGCATCCTTTTTTCTTCAGCTTTCTCGCGCTATACGAGCCCGTTCCACACTGTCCGCTGTCCTCTTCATAAAGCAATAAGTCCTCCGTTACCTCGGCAGACAGGGGTCTTGATCGACCGCTTTATGTAAATAAACGCAGACTTCCAGTGCACCCCAAACGCTGGCTCCGCTTCTGCACGACATGAATGTTAATTCTGCATAACGGCCCTCTAATGAAGTGACCAGCAGACTAAACCTGTACAGTTCACATCCCGAAGTTACTGATCGCCAGATCTCTACACAGACCTCAACTGCGCCTCAGCATAAGAAAAAGAAAAGAAAAGAAAAGAAAAAAGAAAAGAAAGAGCCGAAGGGGGGCGTTAACTATAGTAAACCAGAGTGACTAACTCAAACAAATTTTTAAGAATGGGATATGATAAAATGTGTAAATTAAATGTAGCCTATAATAAAAAGTAAAGTGAAATGTTTTGATATAAGGCTATATACAGTATAGCCTATGATTGGAAGCTTTACGAGTAAGTATAAAACATTTAAAAATTACGATTTTTTTTTATCTCGCAATTCTGATTTTTTTTCCGCAATTCTGAGAAAAAGGCCCAGTCTTTTTTGAATTTGAAAAAAAATGTCGCAATTATTGAATTTATTCAGTTGAGGAAACAAGCCTCAAAATATGCTTATTATAGCTAAAACAAAGTCATTCAATTCACAAATTCTTTTAAATTATAGAACATAATTATTAATTTGTGAATTGAAAACTTTTTTTAGCTATGTAAATGCCTTTTTCGAAGCACATTGGAAAAGCTATGCTAACAGAAAATGGTGGAGCACTTGTTTCCATGGTTACGTTACCTCCTTTATTTTTATTATTATGTTAATTTAAAAGAATTCATTGAATGACTTCTTTAACTATTTGTCACGGGTGTGGAGCAGGCAGAAGGAACTGGAGGACTCCAGAGTCACAAAGAAGATATATATTTAATAAAAATATACAGGCAGGAAGATGGGGTACACAGGGTAACATTCAACATTGACCGACAACACTGAATCAAACTGAACTGAACTAAATACACAGAGGAATAAGGCTAATGGAGTGAACACAGGTGAAAAAATGATAATGACCGGACGAGGAACAGGTGGCTGATTGGGGAGTGAGTCCGGGAGAGGAACAAAAGGATCCGGGGAAGTGTAGTGCAGATGACGGGACAAACAGGTGAAGACGACAGACTGTGACATCACTCCCCCCTCCCGGTAGGCGTGGCCTCACGCCGTAACATCAATGGGGAGGGGGGGTGGGTGCCCTGGAGGCTGTGGAGGGCGTGGTCAGGAGGAGGAAGCCCCCCAGGGCGGAGCAGGATGAGGGCGAGGCCAGGGCGGAGCAGCCTGAGGGCGAGGCCAGGGCGGGGCAGCCTGAGGGCGAGGCCAGGGCGGGGCAGGCTGAGGGCGAGGCCAGGGCGGGGCAGGCTGAGGGCGTGGCCAGGGCGGAGCAGGCTGAGGGCGAGACCAGGGCGGAGCAGGCTGAGGGCGTGGCCAGGGCGGAGCAGGCTGAGGGCGAGACCAGGGCGGAGCAGGCTGAGGGCGAGACCAGGGCGGAGCAGGTGGAGGGCGAGACCAGGGCGGAGCAGATGGAGGGCGAGACCAGGGCGTAGCAGAAGGAGGGAGGACCCCTGGTGGAGCCGATGGAAGCGGGGCTGACAACACCAGGGGGCCGACTGACAGGGGCGGAGCAGATGGGAGAGGAGACCAGGGTAAAGCTGAGGGACTGACGACGTGAGGAGCTGATGAGGGACCGTGGGAACATGGGGACACCGCAGGCTCTGGTGACTGAAGTGATGACAGGGGTAAAGAGGGACACGGTGAGGACAGAGGGAGTGAGGGCCGATGGGTGACTGGAGGGAGTGAAGAATCCAACTGAAGCGGGGGGGTGAAATGACGGGGCAAAGCAAACAAATGGAAGTCCAGAGGTGAAGGACGGGTGATGAGGGACCGAAAGGAATCCAGAGGGGCGTGGGAGCCTGGACGAGCTGGTGGACTGAGGGGCCATGGAGGAGCTGAGGGAGGTAGAAGCCACGGGGGAGCCGATGGGACCGGGGGCCGAGGAAGAGTCTCTGTGGAGGAGGTAGGAGGCGAAAACTGAGGATCCCATAGCAAAGGCAGGTTTCGGGGGACTGGAGAGCAGAAGAGTTAACGGAGGGCAGGTGAGAGGAGGTGGGCGAGGGAGGCTGGGTGGGATCCTGGTCTCCGGCTGGACGGTCTGGACGGTCTCTGGCTGGACGGTCTGGACGGTCTCTGGCTGGACGGTCTGGGCGGTCTCTGGCTGGACGGTCTGGACGGTCTCCGGCTGGACGGTCTGGACGGTCTTTGGCTGGACGGTCTCTGGCGCGGGCTGGACGGGGCTGGACGGAACCAGCGAAGAGGAGAGCTTGGGCTCGGCGGGGCTGGACGGAACCAGCGGAGAGGAGAGCTCGAGCTTTGCAGGGCTGACGTGGAGCGCCGGCTTTCTGGGGACAAGAACCAAACGGGGCCGCCGAATTGGGTGGAGAATCCCCAGAAAAGTCACGGCGTCCATGTTTCTTTGGGGTCGGTCAATCTGTCATGGGTGTGGAGCAGGCAGAAGGAACTGGAGGACTTCAGAGTCACAAAGAAGATATATATTTAATAAAAATACAGGCAGGAAGACGGGGTACACCGGGTAACATTCAACATTGACCGACAACACTGAATCAAACTGAACTGATCTAAATACACAGAGGAATAAGGCTAATGGAGTGAACACAGGTGAAAATGATAATGACCGGACGAGGAACAGGTGGCTGATTGGGGAGTGAGTCCGGGAGAGGAACAAAAGGATCCGGGGAAGTGTAGTGCAGATGACGGGACAAACAGGTGAGGACGACAGACTCTGACACTATTTAAATGCCCTTTTCGAAGCACATATAAAGTTATGCTAACAGAAAATGGTCGAGCACTTGTTTCCATGGTTACGTTACCTCCTCAAATGCATGGCGGCCATATATTATGTTTATTATCCACTTGCGCAAATAGAGCATAGAGTGCCGAAGTTACGACGTCACTCTGTAGGCCAAAACGCGGAAGTGAGTTAGCATTTTAGCACTACCGGTTCCCTCGCTCTAAAGCCTATGGGATTTTTGAACGGGTTTTTGCTAAATCGCCTGAAATAAGGTCTGTGGTGAAAAAAGCCTCCAGAAAAAAGCCTCCAAAAACTTGGAAAAGTTTTGATCTTTGACATAGAACTCACAGTTATAACCTGCTTGTGTTTTTTTAAACTTTATTGTGTCTGATTGTATTTTTTTTTAAATCTTTATATAGGCTTCAAAATGTATAAATATTGGATTAACTTGTAAAGATTATCTTAGACAAAACGTGTAAGGGTCACAACCCTTTGTTGAACACAGATCTTATTTTATTTATTTATTTATTTATTTATTTTGCGATTTTCCAAAAGTCTATGGGGAAAATACATTGCTTTTTGACCGAGGGAACCCATATGCGCCACTAGCTTCCGAGTTGTCCTTCAAAGTGACGTCATCACTTCGGCACTCTATGTGACAGTCGTCTAGCTAGCGTATTTAGGCCTTTTTGGTAACTGTTGTCGTTGTAAAGCATACGTTAAAGGTCCATGCTCACCAACAACATTAAAGGTTTTAATAACCTAATTAATAATATTTTGGACAGCACAGTTAGCCTATAACGTTAAGGACACAGAGGAAGGATATCATAAACACAAAGAACGATTTTCTGCAGCTGATGAACGATGAAAACATTTGTGAGGCAATCCATCCATTAACCCTTAAATGCATGAAAGGGACAATGACTCTACAATCTAGCTAGGCTTACAATGCTTTTAGGAAACACAGCCCAGATATGTCATAAAAAATTATTCTTGTAGTTTTAATTATTATTCAATTCAATTTTAATTGTTATAATTCAATTTAACTGATTAAATAAAATATATTAGTTGGACTGGACACAATTAAATTAAGTTGTGACAAATGTTAAATTGTGTTACTTTAGTTCATTTTAATTGATTAAATTGAACAATAGCAACAAAAAAAAAAATAGTGTGTTTGTTTTATAATGTCAATTGTAATTTTCTCTTTGATTCAATAACCCCAAATCACAATTTCTTATTGCAGCAAAATTCAATTGACCAGATTTAATTATTTAACAGATAGCTTAGGCTAGTGAGACGAAAGCATAGAGGGGAACGGGAACGGAAAAGGACCCCGAGTTGGATTTGAACCCGGCCAACTTTAGTGCACTAACCACTAGGTCATCAGCGCCGACGCATGTGTCTGAGCTGGAGGTATGACATCACTTTTTTATTGCCAGCAGCCATATCACCCTGTAGCCCAAGACTGGTTGCCCACTGAAGCTAAGCAGGGCTGTACCTGGATGGGAGACCTTTTGAGAAAGCCAGGTTGCTGCTGGAAGAGGTGTTAGTGAGGCCAGCAGCGCTCACCCTGTGGTCTGTGTGGGTCCTAACGCTCCAGTATAGTGATGGGGACACTATACTGTCAAAAGAGCACCGTCCTTCTGATGAGACGTTAAACCGAGGCCCTGACTCTCTGTGGTCATAAAAAATCCCAGGATGTCTTTCGAAAGAGTAGGGTGTAACCCCGGCATCCTGGCCAAATTTGCCCAGTGGCCTCTGTCCATCATGGCCTCCTAATCATCCCCATATATACCAATTGGCTTCATCACTGTCTCCTCTCCACCAGTAAGCTGGTGTGTGGTGAGCGTTCGGGCGCAATATGGCAGCCGTCGCATCATCCAGGTGAATGCTGCACACTGATGGTGGTTGAGGAGATTCCCCTCTCTATGTGAAGCGCTTTGAGTGCCGAGAAAAGCGCTATATAAATGTAATGAATTATTATTATTTTGTTGGCCAACCGGCAGTCAGCATCGCACTGGTTCCTTCAACAAAAACCTAAAGAGGATTTTCCCATCAGCTTTTGGATTATTTCTAAAACAAGCTCTGTGATACAACACAAGTTTATACTTGCACGTTTTGTCCATAAAGATAATTATCGCATTAACACAACTTTTATGAATTTTGAAGCATAGAGGCAGTCGCTATGCTAAAAAGCTAAAGGCTAAACAAACTACACCATGATTGCTCGCTCATGTTTCACTAAGCTTCTGGCAACTCTTTCAGTTTTTATCTAAAAACAATTTTCCTATTGAAGTATTGAGTTAGAATAGTATGTAAAAACACAATGAGCAAATAAGGCTGTAAAAGTGGACTGAGCTTTCCTTTTTGGCGTGATTAC